CAGGCGCCTGTGGTCCCAGCTACTCGGAAGGCTGAGGCAAGAGAATTACCTAAGCCCAAGAGCTGGAGGTTGCTGTGAGCTGTGACGAGACGTCACTCTAGGGCGGCGCCTGTGGCTCAAAGAAGTGGGGCACTGGCCCCATATGCCAGAGGTAGTGGGTTTAAACCCAGCTCCAGCCAAAAACTGCAAAAAAAAAAAAAAAGAGAGAGAGAGAGAGAGACAGCACTCTACCTCTACCGAGGGCAGCAAAGTGAGACTCTGTCTTTTTAAAAAAAGAAAGGAATCTCACTTTGTGTTGCTCTGGGTAGCGTGCCATGGCATCATAGGTCACAGCAACCTCAAACTCTGGGCTCAAGCTTCTCTTGCCTCACCTTCTCAAGTGGCTGAGACTACAAGGTGCCCACCACAACACATGGCTAACTTTGCCCATTTTTTTTTTAAATTAAATCATAGCTGTGTACATTAATGCAATCATAGGGTACAATGTGCTGGTTTTATATACAATTTGAAATATTTTCATCAAACTGATTAACATAGCCTTCAGGCATTTTCTGAGTTATTGTGTTAAGACATTTATATTCTACACCTAGTAAATTTCACATGTACCCTTGTAAGATGCACCACAGGTATGGTCCCACCAATTACCCTCCCTCTAACCATCCTCTTCCCTCTCCCCTTAACTTTGCCCAATTTCTAATTGGCTTGTTTTGTTATTGTTGTAAGTTGTTTATATATTCTAGATATAAGCCCTTATGAAATATGATTTGCAAATAGTTCTTCCTAGTTTGGCTTCTCTTTTCCATTTCTTGGTCCCTTTTTTTTTAATTAAAGTTTTCATCAAGATAATTATAGATTTCCATACATTTATAAGACATAATACCAGAACTCTGGGAGGCCAGGCAGGTGGATTGCCTGAACTCAGGAGTTGGAGACAACCTGAGCAAGAGTGAGACCCTGTCTCTAAAAATAGCTGGGCATTGTGGTGGGTGTCTGTAGTCCCAGCTGCTTGGGAGGCTGAGGCAAGAAGATAAGTTGAGCCCAGGAGTTTGAGATTTCTTTGAGCTATGATGCCACAGCGCTCTATTAGGGGCAACAAAATGAGACTCTGTTTTTAAAAAAAAGAAATAATACAACAGAATCTTTTATATATTTTTTCAAACTTTATTATATCAATATAGAGATATTGACATTAGTAACAATCCACTATGTCGCAACTCGTCTGGCTCCTATGGCCCTGGTCTCGGTTAGCGCAGGAAGGAACCAGGCGAGAGGCAGATTAGAAGTACAAGCTTGTGGAAGGCAGGCTAGCCCTTACTTTCCGGGTAGCCCTGAGCAACCTCCGCACCAGCCTTTTATTGAAAGGGAATGATACAGGTGAGGGGAGTAATTAACAATGACTGCTTGCTGAGGGCACGGGCTCCTCCCACAAGGAGCTCCTGTGGAGGAATGGCCTGAGGTCCATGCCTCAGCTGCAGATCATCTTGCTCGGATGTTGGCGTCTCCTACACCACTATTTGTATTCCCCAGTTTTCCTTATACTCATATGTGTGTATATATTTAATTCTGTATAATTTTGTCACATTTGTAGGTTCATAAATCCACTACCACAGTCAAGATACTGAATAGTTCCATCACAAGGGTTCCTCATATTACTCTTTATAACCCTTTTATTCCCATCCACTCCCTACACTCACTAATCAGTGGCACTCACTACTCTGTTCTTTATGTATAGAATTTTATAATTTCAGAAATGTTCTTGAATGGAACCATACAGTGTATGAACTTTTGGGATTGCCTTATTAGTCAGCTGAATTCTCTGGAGATTCACCCAGTTGTGTGTATCATTAGATCTTTCTTTGTTAGAGCTAAATGGTATTCCATGGCACAAATGTTTCATACATACAGCTTATGTAAGCATTCATCTGCTGAATGATATATGGACTGATTTCAGTTTTTTTGCTATTAGAATAATTGCCCAAGAATGTAATTGTTGGGTTATATGGTAATTGAATGTTTAGTTTAAGGAACTGCCAAACTGTGTTTCAAAGCTGCTATACTGTCTTACATTCCCACTAGCAATATAAAAGTGATTAGTTTCTCCACATCCTTACCAGTAGCGTTTTATTTTAGCCATTCTGATAGGTGTGATAGGTGATAGATATCTCACCTGTGGTTTTAACCCATTTCTCTAATGCAGGGGTTCTCAACCTATGGGTTGTGACCCCTTTGTAACAAAATACATCCTGCATATCAGATATTTACATTATGATTTGTAACAGTAGCAAAATTACAGTTATGAAGTAGCAATGAAAACAGTTTTATGGTTGGGGGCCACCACAACATGAGGAACTGTATTAAAAGGTGGCGGCATTAGGAAGGTTGAGAACCACGCTCTAATAATGTTGAAAATTTTTTTATGTACTTATTTGGTATTGGTATGTTTATGTATAGGATATATGCATATGTATATTTATTTTCCCTTACAATTATTGGTGGAAGTACCTATATTATTTGTCTTAGAGTTCTCTTACAGTATCTCTTGATGTGTTCTTCTGTTCTTTGTGTTCTCTTTAAGTTGGTAGTTGGATCTCCAGGCTTTGTTAAATTCAGGTTTTGTCTCTTTTTCTTTATTTTTATTTTTATTTTTTAGTCTCATTTGTTTTAGGAAAGACTGATCCAAAAGTAGTAGTGTGTTCTTCCAGTAGGAAGCATGTTGTGTCTGGTTCTTTGTCTTTTTGTGAACAGTTGATATTAAGAGACTTAATCCAGGTTTTCCTTTTAAGATTGTAATTAATAGTAATATTAATTTATCATTATGTCTATTTGATTGCTGAACTATAGGTTGAGTATCCCTTCTCTGAAATCCTTGGTACCAGAAGTGTTTTGGATTTTAGGTTTTTTCAGACTTTGGACTATTTGCATGATATAACATACATTACCAGATATACACATAGGTGGTAATGGGATTCACACCTAGATAAACAATTCATTTATGTTTCATATGTGCCTTATACACGTAGCAAGAAGGTAGTTTAGTAGAATATTTTAAATAATTTTATGCATGAAACAACATAGTTTTTTTTTTTTTTTAAGACAGTCTCACTATGTCACCCTTGGTAGAGTGATGTGGCATCGCAGCTGACAGCAACCTCCAACTCTTGGGCTTAAGTGATTCTCTAGATTCAGCCTCCCAAGCAGCTGGGACTATAGGTGCCTGACACAACGCCCACAATGGTTGTACTTGTCATTGTTGTTTGGCAGGCTGGGGCTAAATTTGAACCCGCTAGCTCCAGTGTATGTGGCTGGTGCCCTAGCCACTGAGCTATGGGGTGGAGCCCCTGAAACAACGTTTTGACTGTATTTTGACTATGACCTGTTGCATGAGGTCCCATGTAGAATTTTCTACTTGTGGTATCATGTTCTTATTTAAAAAGTTTTCAGTTTTTGGAACACTTTTGATTTCACATTTTTTAGGTAGGGATGCTCAGCCTATATCTACCCAGGGATATGGTTCTTATAGGAAAGGCAGGGCATATGTTTGATTAATTTCTTTTATTTGCCAATTATGAGAGTAATTGTTTTCCTAGCTTTTTAGTGTCTTTATTACCTCAGGATTTAAAATATTTGTTTAATCTCTTAAAGTTATTATCCTTGTTGATTCCCAAATTGTCTTCTTTTTTACTAAAGGGTACCTCTTCAAGTAGGTTCTTGAGTCCTTTTCACTAGCCTGGTAGGCTTTGTTCTTTCTTCCTATCTTATTTGACAAAATGTCCCAGGTTCATGTTGAATAATTCTTGCCCTAGTCATAGCATCAGATGCTTCTCTAAGGAATCTTGGCTCCTTTTAGTGTGAAATGCTCCAAGCTTGGTATGGTTGTTGTATTTTTTCCCTTTTTTTTTTTTTATTTAGAGACAGGGTCTTACTTTATCGCCCTCAGTATAGTTCTGTGGTGTCACAGTTCACAGCAACCTCCAGCCCTTGGGCTTAGGCGATTCTCTTGCCTCAGCTTCTTGAGTAGCTAGGACTACAGGCGTCCACCACAATACCTGGCTATGGTTTTTTGGGGGTTTTTTTTGCAGTTTTGGCTGGGGCTGGGTTCAAACCTGCCACCCTTGGTATATGGGGCTGGCACCCTACCTCACTCAGCCACAGGCACTGCGCTGTTGTGTTTTTTTCTTGAGAAGCCCATATTTTCACAATGAGTTCATTTAAAGGAGTTTGAAAGCCATTGACAGACTTTATTTCTAGCTGGGCACCTGTAGCACAGTGGTTATGGCGCCAGCCACATATATCAGGGCTCGCAGGTTCAAATCCGACCCAGGCCAGCTAAACAGCAATGACAACTGCAACAAGAAAATAGCCGGGCGTTGTGGCAGGTGTCTGTAGGCCCAGCGACTTGAGAGGCTGAGGCAAGAGAATCGCTTAAGCCCAAGATTCGAGGTTGTGAGCTGTGATGCAACTCACAGACAAAGTGAGACTCTGTCTCAAAAAAGAAAAAAAAAAGTAAGAAAGACTTTATTTCTAAATAATTTAATGTTGATTTGAAAAATATGATTATAACTTGTCATACTTCTTTGTGTTTTAGAAAACATAAAAACACTAACTTATGTTTTATTTGCTGCATATCCTCCCTAAACTGAATGAAAAAAGTACTAATTGACACCTACACCATTCCTCTTGTGTAGGAATACACGGAAGAAATAGAGCGCCTGAAGAGAGATCTTGCTGCAGCCCGTGAGAAAAATGGAGTGTACATTTCTGAAGAAAATTTTAGGTAACTTCTTGCTGTAATTAATTTCGAAGAATAAGCATGCTGCCCAGTCTTTCCCAATGGTTGCCTCTTGGTTTTTTTTTTTGGAGACAAAGTCTCACTTTGTTGCCCTCAGTAGAGTGCTGTGGCGTCACAGCTCACAGCAACCTCAAATTCCTGGGCTCCAGTGATTTTCCTGCCTCAGCCTCCTGAGTAGCTGAGGGTAGAGGTGTTGACTTGATGCCCAGTTAATTTTTTTATTTTTTAGTAGAGATTTGAACACCTGAACTCAAGTGAACTTCCTGCCCCCTAGTATAGTATCAAAGCTGGGAAATTGACATTGGTACAATGTGAGAGTAGATTTGCGTAACCACTGCACAAGTGTAGATCTGTGTAACCACCAATGCAATCAACATGCATAACTATCTATTATCATGAAAATCTCTCTCAATAATCCTTAGTAGGGTTGGTGCCCATAGCATAGTGGTTATGGCACAGGCCACATACATCATGGCTGGCAGGTTCAAATCCTGTCTGGCCCTGCTGAACAACAATGGCAACTACAACAAAAAATAGCCAGGAATTGTGGCGGGCGCCTGTAGTCCCAGCTACTTGGGAGGCTAAGGGAAGAGAATCACTTCAGCCCAAGATTGGAGGTTGCTTTGAGCTCTGCCGCCATCGCACTCTACTGAGGGCAACATAGTAAAACTCTGTCTCAAAAAAAAAATTCCTTTTTGTATTAATCCTTGAAGATGTAGGGAGGACGATTTTTACAGAACATCATTACAAAATTAACAATGATAAAACATTTAGATCTAAATAATAGTCAGAAGCAGTTTAGTATAATCTTTTACTGAACTTTTTGGTATTAACATTAAGGCCAGGAGTGGTGGCTTTTGCCTATAATCCCAGCACTCTGGGAGGGCAAGGTGGGTGGAGTGCCCTGACCTCACAGGTTTGAGACCAGCCTAAGCAAGGGTGAGACCCCCGTTTCTAAAAAAATAGACCGGCATTGTGGTGGGTGCCTGTAGTCCCAGCTACTTGGGAGGCTGAGGGAAGAGAATCACTTGTGTCCAAGTGCTGACAGTTGCTGTCAGCCATGACGCCTCGGTGTTCTACCTTGTGTGACAAAGTGAGACTTTTTTTTTGAGACAGAGAGAGACCTGTCTTTAAAACTTGCCAGGGGTTGTGGTAGGTTCCTGTAGTCCCAGCTGTTTGGGAGGCTGAGGTAACAACAGAATCACCTGAGCCCAAGAGTTGAGGTTGCTGTGAGCTGTGACACCATGGCACTCTACTGGGGCAACAAAGTGAGACTCTGTCTCAAAAAAAAACAACGAAAAGATATTGACATTACATGATCACTCTACTAGTACATAAACCATACAAAAACTCAGTTTTTTCTTTCCATATATTGATACTTTTGTTTGTTTTGTTTTTCTGAGACAGAGCCTTAAGTTGTTGCCCTGGGTAGAGTGCCGTGGCATCACAGCTCACAGCAATCTCAAACTCCTGGGTTTAAGTGATTCTCTTGCCTCAGCCTCCCAAGTAGCTGGGACTACAGGCACCCGCTACAACGCCTGGCTATTTTTTGGTTGTAGTTGTCATTGTTCTTTGGCAGGCCTGGGCTGCATTCAAACCTGCCAGCTCTGGTGTACATGGCCAGCACCTTAGCCACTTGAGCTACAAGCACCGAGCCAATATATTGGTACTTTCTAACTGTCATGATGTGGTATATTCTGCTGGTTCATATGCTAACTTTACAAATATATTGTATGAAGATCACAAGTTATTAAATGCTTATTCTTTCATTTTTTTCTACGTGACTTAAGTTTTGTTTAGTTCTTTTTTTTTGCCATATCTAGTTGGCAAAAAATTTTTACAAAAAAATTACTTTATAAATTTGTGCTTTTTTTGGCTCGGCGCCTGTGGCTCAAGTGGCTAAGGCGCCAGCCACATATACCTAAGGTGGCGGGTTCGAATCCAGCCCGGGCCCGCCAAACAACAATGATGGCTGCAACCAAAAAATAGCCAGGC